CTGAAAGAACTTCACCTGACGTATCACGTTTTGAACCGACTCGTCGATGTCCAGCATGTGAGAGTGGCATGGAAGCACCTGGTATTAGGCACAACAAGGAATGTAGAAAGCGTTTTGCTGAGTTTGAGGAACAACGGAGAAAGGAAAGACGTGTTGAACCTGCACTCTCTCAGGAGAGCCCTGTAGTTGTACCCCAGGTTCAGGTGCCAGTAGAAGAGGTCGATGATGAAGAAGTGGTACCAACACCTGAGTCCGCTCGGCGACAGCCGGAAACACAGGTTGAGTACACTAGAAGGTTTAAAAGGAAAGCTGAGACCGACCGAGAACAGTTGGAAAGAGAGATCCGTGAAGATTCTGAGGAATTGCTTCAAACAAACATGGATTTTGATTGGTTTTGGGTTGGTAGTGGTGAGCCTGTGTTGGTTGCGAGTTTAGGTACACTTGAAGGTCCAGCGTCTTTTGCTCCGGCAACATCTCCTGAAATGTTTTCTGGTTCTCTTGATTCTGTTTGTTTCAATCGAGGCAATGAACATGATTTTGTGAAGATGCGTCTTGGAGGTCAGGATGTCTTGGTTTGGAAACCGGACAGTATCATAGATGACCAGAGTTTGCAAGAGCTTGATTTGGAACAAGGTTTCAAAGGTATGCAAGAGGAGGTTAGGAACTTGGAACACTGCAAGACTGGCCGCATCATCACCCAGTCAGAACTGGACGACATGAAGAAGGCTGTTCCGAACCTTCGTTTGATCCAGTCAAGGTGGGTTGCAGCTTACAAAAGCAGTGAGAGGGTTCGAACCAGGATTGTTGCGAAGGACTTCAATCGTGGCTCCTCAGCTAGATCTTTGGGATTTAGTAGTCCTACCCCTTCGATTGAAAGTGTTCATTTGGTGCTTGCAATGGCAGCGACACGGAAGATGCTTTTGCGTGCATTGGACGTGAGTCATGCCTTCATGCATAGCCCATTGGGAACTGGCGTACATGTTGTCTTGAAAATGCCGTTGTCGATTAGCTTTCCATCAGGTGAAGCGACCTACTATTTGCTTGAAAAGGCATTGAACGGGTTACGTGATGCTTCACTGGCATGGTTGCAGCTTTTGACATTTACGGTTGAACATGTAGGTCTTTGGTCTGATTCGTTGGAACCATGTGTGTATGGTGGACAGATTGTGAAAGATGGTCATGAAATTGGGTTTTGTTTGTGTGTGGTGTATGTTGATGACATCTTGTTGTTGTCGACCACTAAAGAAGCCGAGGAACATGTGGTTGCAACTTTGTCGTCTGTAGTGCCTGTGAAGACAACTGGAGAGATCGGAGAAGAGGGAGGATCCCTGACCTTTATTGGTCGTGTCATCAAAAGAGAAAGAGATTCCTCTGAGATCACTCTGGGTGTCGATCCACATTATCTTGACTCTACGTTTCTGGATTATGGTGTTACTCGTGGGTCTGAGAATGTTCCTGACATTTCGGGACATCTGGAGAAAACACTCACGGATAGGTCCCGACCTGAGACAGTGAATCTTTTGCAGAGTTTTACAACCGAAAGTTGGCAAGATACATTTTGATTGCGGTCAAACATGCTTCGAAGAAGAAGAGTTGAATTTTCGTTTAAAAAGGGGACCCTGTGATTGTGAGAGAGAGACAGAAGTTGACGTCACGTTTCATTTCGTTTCATTTCTGTTTGCACGTTGTTTTAAACAAACGTTGCCAAAGACAAACAGGAGTTTTCACCATGTTCCATTTTGTGCAGAGTTTTGTTGCGCGATGCTGTAAGATGCAGTGTGTGTGCGCAGTGCAGAACAATCTGAAAGGCCACTGATCCTATCACGACTGTGATGGCGGTTCGACACTTCGTTTCACGTTCTAGGTTGATTGCTCCTAAGAGTTTAGCCACGGTCTAATACTTTTTCACTACCGGACGCGGTTTGGTTTGCAGCCATGGCCAAGTCTGGATGGACAGATGCAGATGAGAAGGCTTTGCTTGGTCTTCTTCAGAAGAAGTGGCACAGTGAGAATTCAGGGTCAGGCTATGCAGTCGGATCCAGTATTTTGACTCCTTTGGAGAGTCAAGGAGCAATGACAGATGGAAGCAAGCGACTTCGTGAGGCTCTGGATGATGATGAATTCGATTTGATTTCTTCGGCAGCTGAACCTTTGAGTGCGCAGTTGCCTGTCATGCCTATCCCAATCTTTCCTGGGATCGCCGACAAGGTCCTTGATCAGCTTACTGCTGATTTGGTGCCTGAAGGTATGAGTTTTCGAGATTGGAGCAGAACGAAGTTTGCGTTTGGAAAGTTTGCCAATGAAGGCAAAACATACCGTGAGGTATATGTCGATGATGAGATGGCAGGATATTGCAAATGGAGTATGTGTCACCTGGGAAACAAGAGTACAAGTCCAATTGCAAAGGATTGGTATTCTTTTCTCTGCGCATGCAAGGTTGCGGAGGACTCTGGAAAGGTTGGAAAGCCAAAGGGTTGCTTCACTGGAACTTCAGTGCAGAGGCAGCTGGGTGATTGAGAGTATCTTCATTGGTGCAAAGGCGAGAAAAGACTATGAGCTGGTTGTTCATTGGATGGTGGACAACGGGACAACTCGTACTATATGTATTGACCTGTCGAGTTTGAGCGATATGTGCTGAATTCTGGATGGGTTACAGCGTATACCTATGGAATGGAGTTCATCTCAAAAAGGGGTGTGAAAATTTGACATCTGTGGTGAGATGAATCCATTGGTCTTTTCTGCATTGGAAGAAGTGAATTTGGTTCTCATCTTGATGATGAGCTCAACCGTGATGGTTGACATCGTATTTGCACGTTTCATGTTTTGCACGTTTTATTGGAGATGACGAAACCCAACAACGATATACTTTTCGTCCTCTTTGAGTACTTTGATTGCACGGAGAACATCGTGAGGATTTGAATTTGTATAGTGACATGGAAAATCAAACCATTTTCCATACCTTTTGCTTTAGTTTTCGTCGACGAAGACCACGAAGTACACGAAGGAATCGTGAGAAGATCGTAGAATTCATTTTGTGACTTCGGAAGAAGGAACTTTGTTTGACATTGATCGGAGAAGTTTAGGTTGTTTTGTCTCTCAATGATGATAGCGAGAGCAACGTTCTGAAAGGCATTCAGAACTGGAGTTGCTAACAGATCTGAGGGAGACATCATGAATCATGTTTTGGTGCTTGAAATGTTTCAACGTTTTTCAAACACTCAAACTTATTTAAACAAACAAACCATGTCTTGATGTAAAGACTTTTTGTGAGGACATGTGTTTTTGATCGCTTTTGTGAAAGTTAGCAGAAGGATGCTGACTGGCGACTCCGCATCATTTTGTGTCAAGGCGTGACACACCAACAAGAACCATAGCGACATGAGCAAGATATGTTTCTGTTGCTTGTGTGTGTGTAAAAGTGGCTGAGCTCTGGGAGCGGTTGACTTGGTTGCGTGGACGGTCTTAGTGAGTTAAGGACGACGTCCTGGACACTGACCCAAGTAGGTTTCGAAGGCTGTCGGCCTTCCGCAGTTCGCCTGCCCTGGGATTGGGATCATGTCAATCAAGACCTGTCGCAAATCCTGTTCCGTAGCAAGGGGGTCGTCTCTTACATCTCTGCCATTACATGGCACCATATGTAGATCAGAGCATCCCTTGCCAGCAGCCTGGAGAAGCGAACTTAGGGTGCGTTTGCAATGATCAGGGAGATCAAAGCTAACCCATGAGAGCACTCGTAAGAGCCCCTCACATCGTATCCCATGCGGTATGACCTCCGGGGTCGTAATCTGGAGATAATCAATATGATGGGTGCCTTCTTCAATTGGTGTAAACAATAGGTGGCCATATGCATGTCGTGCTCGGCCACTCCAGGATGGCTGCCCGTCGATGAGGACGACATTATAGCTAAAGTCTGTGAGGGTGTCAGGGTGCCACACGCAGAGTCGGTCCTCAAGACAATGCAGAAGCATCACTCTTCGTTCTCCAGTTGTCAGCCTCAGCATTTCGGGCGGAGATGCAATTGCTGCTACCTTAGTGGTACCTGGGAAGCAATCGAATTCATTGAGCACTTTATGGATTGCCAATCCAGTGTACGATCCCGCCGAGAAGCCAAGTACATCGATGTCCCTTATTCCGTCTGGGATGGATGCTGTCACATAGCGAGGAAAACAGGCTCGCAAAAACAGCAACTTGCCCTGTGGATGATAACACCTGAAGATTTGACGAACTGCAGTGACCCATGTGGGATGGGGAGGCCTTGCATGCGCTGGCCGGATGGTCGCCGCAGTCAGTAGCCGTATAGCACGGGTGATCAAAAGCTTTAGATTGGCAAATCTATCCGGCAAAAAGCCCATCAATGCACTCCATCCCAGGGCAGTGGAGAAAAGCTGGTAGATTGCGTACTCATGCGTAGTTTTAGTCAGCCCGAGTTGAGTGATGCGCTGCTCCCAATCATCTGTCATCGCCAGCGAGGGGCCATACACTTTCATTTGCGCATGATTCTGAAAGAAAATGTCGTACTCATGGTCAGGGCTTAACAAACCGCCACCCAATCCACTGCAGTGCACTGTGAGGGGTCGATCCGGCATGGGAGAGTCCTCTTGCCACAGACTATTCATCGAGAGAACCCATTGTGCCCATTTCTTCGGTCGATCAACCAGGGCTTGCGGAGCTTGCGAAACGTTGGCTGCATCCCCCGTATAGATCCGCTGGGAACACTGCACGAGATCGAATACTTCTCCTTTCACTTCTGTTGTCCACTCCTCTGGTGCGCGAAAGACAGTTGCGAGGCCAAATGTGAGTTCAGCGGCCTGTGCAAGAGCCCGGCACTGAGTTCCAATTGCAGGTCTTCGTTCCCACAAGCCAAGCAGCGCCACTTGTTGCTGATACGAGAGCGGGGACGGTGGGATCTTTGCATGGACACGCAGGCTTCTCAAAGCCACGGCGTCCACCCGACCTGTCGCCCAGAGGCGAGGGCTGCAGCTGTTGACCACGCTGCGCCCATGAACACTGACAGCTTACAGCTCCCTGACTTGACTGCTATCCAGGCGGCCAGCGTTGCAACTTTGCGACATATTCCCAGCGCTGCCACCTTGGACACCGCGGTTGCCAGCACGCCCAGAAGTTAGACCAGCCAGGATGGAATGAGCAGCTGGGCGCACGCCACAGTGACTGGCCGAGCCACTCTTCTCTCGGAAGCATCTATCGGCGGGCGCGCATTCTTGAATGTCGTGCCTGCTGGCCGCACGCGTATGGAACCGGCTGTCTTCATTTGTGAACTTCGAGTGCGCCTTCGCATACCCGACGCTTGGTGCCCCTTGTGCAATGCAGTACTCCATCACCATACCCACCACGCTGGAATGTGTGTGGCTGGAGGCGAACACATTCAGCGACACCATGCGGTGCGGGAGTTGGTTCACAGCTGGGCGCACCGGGCCGGGCTTCGCTCTGAACGCGAGAAGGCTGGCTTGCTCCTGCCCAGCAACCCGGAAGAAACCGGACAAGCCAATCGAAGGCCAGCCGATCTGTACCTGCCCGCCTCTGCCGGGTCTCCTGTTGCCTTAGATTTCGCCATCGCCACTGCGACAGGAGACCTTGGCTCAGGCGAGTCGGCACACTGGGGCTGCAGCCGCTGCTTATGCTCAGCACAAAGAACTCCACTCGGACACCGCTCAAGCGTGCGCGGCAGGGGTCAAGTTCATGCCCATGGTGGCTGAATGCACTGGCGCATGGGCGCCAGAGGCCCTGAAGGTGCTGAAGCATGTTGCCCATGCGGCGGCTCTGCAATCGGGTGAGGAGCCCGCAGTCTGCTATGATCTCCTCCTGCAGGAGCTGGCTGTTGCGATCCGCACTTTCCGGGCGCGGGCCTCTCTTCGCCGTCGGTTCCAAGCTCTGTGACCGACTCGGCCGTGTCCTGCACCGAGCGGTACCTTCGTGACATTCTTTGAGCCAGTGCGCTGCGGGGGCCAGTTAGGTTTTCTGTTTTCTGCTGAGCGTATAGCAGGACGACGCTACCATGGCGCTCGTTTCTTCTTCTTTATTTGTTTGGTGGTACTGATTCATGCAGCTCCCCTTTAGACACCTTTTGCTGCCATGTGCTCCCCTCCTTTTCCTTTGGGGTCACTGCACAGGCTTATGTAGAGTAGCATCGGTGAACGATGCTTTCATTGTTGTGTTGATAGATGATAGATGTTTCCTGACATTGTTGGGGGGTGGTTTGTGAAGAGTCCTGGAGAATGCAGTTCCAGAGTGGTCTCGACCTGAATCATTTTGGCTGCGCAGGGGCCGTTGGCCCTATGACAGGGGATGTGAAGACCCCAGGCAAAAGGCATAGAGAGAGCCGTTTGCATCATGAAAGAAGGGATCTATGCCAACTGGTTGGCACTTGAACGCCATTGGAATGCCAGGATTGCGTTGGAATCCCCCCTTTTGGGATATCTGGTGGGACATGTCTATAGGACGTACAACGCATACTGTGAGGGAAAGGCTGGGAGCACCCCCTTAGAACGTTTGAGAGAGAAACGGGGAGGTCAAGCACCTAGGTCTTATCCTTTTGGGGCAGTTGGAGTTTTGAAACCAATTCATCCTTCAAAATGGCCTGGTCAGCGTTTGGTGTTGTGCCATTTCCTCGGCATGAGGTATGTGACTGGTGGAGGTTGTTTGGGATACCCGTTTTCTGTTGATGCTGAAGGGTATCGTGAGGTGATCAAGGGTCACTCTTTCAAACTGAAGGAGCCTCTCCAGTATGATGTTGAATCTCTTTTTCCTCTTTTGGCAAGCGTCAGGCCACAGGACTTCCCAGAACTACGTCTTGAGGCACCACAGGCAGAACAGGCCTTACCACCACCTGAGTTTTCACCAGAGTTGGTGGACCCACCGGTTTTTCCAAAGGAAAAGGTTTCACCACCGCCCATTGCAGATGGAGCTGATGGCATGGATGTAGATGCAGGTGAGGTAGGTGAAGGTCCTGAGCCCATGACGATCGACAGGGTCGATGAGGGTTCAGAAGGGGAAGAATCTGAAGAGGAAGAAGGGGATCAGTGGTTGAACAACCTTATTCTTCAAACACAGGCCGATGTGCGGAACACTTTTTGTTTGAAAGAGTCTGGTTGTGTTTTGCCCTGCTGGTGAGGGAAATGGTGATTTCGTTGTGGAGGATTTTGGAGGTCAAAAGGTTCGAGTCGACATCCCTGAGAGTTCTTTTGACGAGCTCACTGGAGCTGCATTGGACTTTGAACAGGTGAAGCAGGGAATGAAGACTGAGGTACAGCAGCTTGAGAGACTGAAAGTCGGGCGCTGCCTTGTCGAACGTGAAGGCCGACAACTTGCTAAGGAGAAGCAGGTTATGGTCTTGACCTCACGTTGGGTACTCACCCAAAAGACCTCAGAAATCGCTTGGTGTCGCATTGTAGTGCGAGACTTCGCCACGGGAGGGGCCTCAGCCCTTAACTCGGGGATCTACGCGCCAACGTCGTCTTTGGACGACTTCGGTGTGACTTGCAGTTTCTGAAGGACCTTAGTTTGCTGACTGCTGATGTCTCTGTGGCGTTCATGAATGCGCCAGTGGAGCCTGACGCTTGTGACTTAGTGTTACTTCCAGCGAACATTACTATCAATGGATGCAGAGTGATTGCTTGGCTCGGGAAAGCCATGACTGGGCTCAGACGAGCGCCATTGTTATGGTTTCTCGAATTGCAGCGAGTGGTGTACACCATGGGAGGTATCAGCGATGCCGGCTGCACCACCAATGCCGGCTGCACCAGCAATGCCAGCGACAGCGCGTTCTGTGCCAACAATGGGCACGTCAGCAAGTCAGGCTGCACTCAAAGTTCTAATCAAGGATGAGCAGGTAGGCCTTCGACTGTTCCAGCTTCTCCTACTGCTCACCACCCAACTGCACGGCCGGACTCAGCCTACGTCCAGGAATGGGGGCTGGGTATGATTACCCTTGGACAGTACTTGCATCGCAGGTTGCCAATGCAGTTCCTTCCCGAGTGAGATAGATCCTGCAGTATGAGAGCCAGCTGCTACTCTTTTGTGATGATCAGCAGTGGGGGTTGGATGAGCTTTGACTTTGAGCATGAGCCGGTGACTGTGGCTTCTTTTGGATGATGCTCTGAGAGGGCTCGATTAGGAGAATAGGACGTTTCACAAGCGGCCTCGAGGTTCACCTAGTTTGGTCTTTTCCAGGGCCACTCCAATAGCCGTGAGTTCAGAGACTTGCAGAAGAGATCCAAAATGGGATTGCTGTTGTCTTGTTGTATTTTGTTTTGCAGTGCAAGGGTTTGCACAAGCTGTCCAAGAAACAACAGAAGCTGTCTGTACAGAGCTGCATACAAAAGCCGTTTTAGTGAAACAATGTCAGGGTTATCCAGTTTGTTTCCAGAAGCTGTTCAACTGTCTTGCAGAAGCCGTTCAATCATACTGCATAAGCTGTTTTTATGTTTGTAGGTTTATGCCAGTTGAAACAGTTTTGGAATTTCCACTTCTTTTGATGTCAGTTCATGTGATGTTCATTTCACTGTTTTGGGATTGGATGTCAACAGTTTCCCTTGTAACTAGTTTGATGTCACTTGCATGCAGTTGGACACATGTGGACTCATTGGACTCTTGTTGCAACAGTTTTTACAGTTGTCATGGTTTTGCAGTTCAACTTGTCGACAGTTTCACTGCTCTGATTTTGGGATGGTCTTGCAATGTTTTGTGCTTGTCCTGAACGCTCTTGTAAGTAACCTGAACTAAGGTACAACGATGATCCAATGATGTAGCTGCCAAAAGGGTCTGAGAGATGGCATTGCCATATGAGACACCCTGCAGCTGAGGATCATAACATGTTTGTTTGTTGCATGTTCTTGGAACTTGGTTTTGAAGTTGTCTTGAACTTGAACTTTACTTGAACTCTTATGCACTGTTTCTCTTGGGGTTCTGGTTCAAGTGTTGTTGGCAGTCTATGTGCCTCTCTGTCTTTGTGCGTGCCATGTGGTTGTTCGATGTGCTCGTCCTACTGCTTCTGGTACTGCTTTGTGGTCTTCTCTGGATGGGCTGGCAGTTCAAGATCTATATAGGGAAGCTCAAAGCTCAGGAAGCCGAATTTGCAGAACTGGAGGGCCGTATCCAGGCCGTGCAATCTGATGCAACTACGTTGTCAACAAAGAGGAGTTCAAACAGAGTGGAACCAGATGTGCTTTTTGTATGCGGCCTCAAAAGCCGTGTCTTGCACAAGGAAGATTGTCAATACCTTCAAGGACCTGGAGTTAAAGAACTCCATCTATGCCAGATCTGCTTTCAGCGTTGATGGCTGTACCTTGGGTGTCTTTTTGGAAAAAGGCTTGCCCAGCGCTCAGCTACCACTTGCTTTGGGCTGATCACCAAGGGTTCAGAAGACAACACCTCCAAGAAACTTCTTGAGCCTGAAGTTTAGAAGCCAAGGTTTCCAGTTGAAAAAAAAACGTTTGAGAAGCAGATTTGAAACGCAGTTTCAGTTTGTTTTGGATTGTGTTTGAATGATCCTAGTTTGAGGGGTTTAGGGTTCCCAAGATCACAGGCCAGAGGCGTGGATACTTGGTACCCTTTTGGGGGTCTATCCCAATACCCGAAAGTCTGGCAGCCAAGATCGTGACCAGAGGAAAGGTCATTGGCACCAGTTCCCCTTACTTAGATGAGATGAAGATGACAAACGTGAGACAGTTTCAAATACAAAGGTTTCCAAACGACAAACGTTTTCAAACAAAAATTGTGCAGAAGTTGTGAACTCAGTTTCAAACTTGTGTTACTCAGAAAGATGGGGTATGGTTTGTTGGGTGCTTTTGCTCCGTTGCCACTGCCCTATGATGACTACAAGATGGAGCCAAAGAGACTCGTTCCTCATAAAACATCCATCTACCTGAGGGCACCTTTAAAACCCAGGACGTTTCGAGTTTTCAGTGCGCTAGTTCCTAGCTTAGTTGTTGAGCATGGATCTTAGTTGGTGATGTCTGGAACTTAGTTGTGTGGGTTCAGAACTTAGTTGCCTTACAAACGGTATGGTAGTCTATAGGTACTTCGGTGTACAGCACTACTGTCCAAAAAGGGGTGTGAAAGTTTGGTGAGAGGATGTACAGTGTACTGAACCACCTTGAACCTACTTGAACATCTTTAAACCTATCTTCGAACAATGCATGTGCATGTGAACAGTTAGGTAACCATTTTAAGTTTGTAGGAACCGATCTGTGAACTATAGAACCAATTTGGAACCAAATGGAACCAGTTTGTGCATGGAAGAGCTTGGAGATGAATTTTCGTTTGTTTTTGTGGTTTTTGTGTTTTTGGATGTTGTTTGACCCATGTCTTAGGAACTTGATGTTGTGAACTTATTTGGTAGGAGTTTTGTAGGTTATTTGTGAGCTTGAGCTGAAGACGTTTTATTTGGAGAAGCTGGAAGAACGTTTTTGAAGCTTGAGAACTCTTTTGAAGTAGTTTGAGAAGTTTGAGAACGTTTGAGTGTCACTGCGTTTTACTCTGCACGACTCTTCTAAGAAGAAGAGTGACTGAGCTGTCAAACCTGTGTGGTTTGGCTCAAGTCCGAGCTGTGAAAAAGAGCTGCCACGCCGCTCTCGTGTTTTCACACACAACCAGGACGACCCGCAAATCCCCCAGCCAGATTTGCGTTTCGCCGCGCAAGAAACAGCACAGCAACAGCAAACCGGGGCCAGAGCCCAACCAAACAACCACACAAAAG